AGTTGAATTAGTTTTCTTGGGACGACCTCGCGGGTTATCCTTAACCTCAGGTTCCGCATAATCCTGTTGGTCTGGGTAAAGATGATTGTACATGAACTTATTCACGTACCGCATCGTCGCGGGATCGCGGGTTTCAACCTCAGTCACAAGCGTATGAAAGAACGTCGCATCTGACCATGCAGCGTTGCTCGCCTGGCTCGGATGACCAGTCCCTACAAGTATACGATAAAAAAGTCAATGAATTAAAACAAATAATGTATTTTAATAGAAAATTATAAATAAAACATTAATCTTAAATTACCTGGCTCTAATATCTCGAGCGTTCTCCAGAACTGGTGAATCATTCCGAGATCAATCGGAGCGTCGAAATCTTCTGCGTTACGGAGGAGACAGGCACAAGGAAGTCCATGAGTGAGCTGCAATACACAACCGCAGCTAGTGTAAACATCGGTGTCCAACTTGTGCATCCTCGTAAGCTCAGCGTCCAATAAACTCAGACAGTTATGCGAGACCCTCAGTATCACGCTCGCGAAACGGATTCCCTTGTACCGTGTATTCTTCTTAGATCTCGAGGCCTCAAGCGCCGTCCTGATAATACGTTACATAACGTTAGATTATAATTAATTAATGCAGTAATATAATAACACATTTAAAAATTGCAGTACGTACTTGATTTCAGTCACTTGATTATCGATATGCTTATTAATCTTCTGCCAAACCGTATCGAGCGCGCCGGTGGACGTCTGAAGCCACTCCTTCAACGCAGAGTGAGCACTCTCCACCGTACAGGAAGTTGTGTTTCCAAAATGTGTCACTCGGTTGGTCCAAGCCTTCACAAACTTCTCGCGGTGCACTAACCATGTGCCCTCCACATACCGTATCACCTCTGCATTGTTCGAATATTTTGCGCGCAGCTCGGCAACGGCATCGTTGTAGGCATCGAACGTACTGGCCTCTGCAATCGCCTTCCACGTACTGTGCGTGAAAATCTCCGAGAATTTTTTATTCTTCCCAAATAGGTGGTAGGTTCTGGCTTCCACATCCTTGTTGATGTGCCACGTGCAGAGGAAGTGGGCTGCTTCAGGAAAATGCCTCTGAATAGGAGTGAGTAGACCCAACTCTCTGTCACTGACAACAACATGAGGATATACGCTTTGGCCTATCAGTAGTCTCAACTTGTCTAGAACTCAGTCGTAACTGGTCTCTTTCTCGTCCCTGATGAGGGCATACGCAATTAGGAAGTTCTGGTTGCACGGCGTCATCCCAATCATCTCGACCAACGGCATCTTGTACCTGTGCAAATGTGACCAAGAAGACAAAAAATATAAGCACATAAATATATGCGTCAACACTTTTAAGATTCATACTAATAAAGTATTTATAAAGTAACATACCTGTTGGTTTTATACGTGGAATCTATACCGACATACCAGTGATATGTCCGGAATAGATTGATCGACGCAGGATGGGCCATGAATATATGCGTCAACACTTTCGTGTTCGGATCGGATTCTACATAAACTGTATACTGGCTGCTCACGGCCAAATGCATAAGCTGAGTAGGAACGTCTCTACCGTCGGAACCCTCTCTCCGCAGCTTATCTCTAAAGTTATATACCTGTCACCGATTAGCGTTAATTATAATGCGATTAATTTGATAAAAAAATTATTAACTATCACAATAGTAATACATTAGTAAATATAATAAAATTTATTAATTATTACAATAACTTTTACATATAAAAAATTACTAATTATCATAATTAACTTAAAAAATTTAATTAAAACATATATTACAAGATATAAATATATATACCTGGCGCACATGAACATTGTCTCCCGGATTCTTTTCCTTCAGCGCGGCCATAATTTTTTTCGGGGCCACCTGAGCGTCCGTCATGTCACGAACAATTCTCTTAGATGAAGTGCTGAGACCGCTCAACTGGCTATGACCCTCAGGATACACAGCAAATGCATGGTTATGGTAGCCTTTCTCTTCATTGCTACATCTACAGATCCTCCAGTATGGAACGCCGGACACCTTTTTTACTTTGATCTCAAAATTGCAGCCGCACTTATTCGTTTTTGTCCTTCTAGAATTTCCGCCTGTGCCTCTGTACCGTTCGCCTCTATGGCACTTCAAAAGTCTGACCGTTTTCTTTTTGTGGCTCGAAATAATTAATAGGAAACCATTCAGCATTGCCTGGTGTTTTGCAGCTTCAATAGCCTCCTGAGCACTATTATAGAATGAAGATGTATCGAAACGCAGACTGTAATCAACACCATCTCCTCCAAAATCTTCCCATGACTCCTGCTATATAGTACAATATTTTTATTTTTAGAACATTTTAAATTAAGATAATTAATTCTACGATGTAACATAATAATTTGTAACTCGTAACATGATATTATCTAACGTTCAATTAATATAATTTGTAACTCCTGACACGATCACGATAATATCTAACGTCCAATTTATATTATAATAAACATGTAACACAATAACTTGTAACTCTTAACACGATACTCTCTAACGTCAATTTATAACATAACTAAAACTAATATATAATGTAATAATTTCTAACTCGTACCACGATAATATCTAAACGTCCAATTTATATTATAATCAACATGTAACATAATAATTTGTAACTCCTAACACGATAAACGTCCAATTTATATCATAATCAAGTCTAAAATGTAACATAATAATTTATAACATAATAATATAGTCCAATTTATAACATAATTATTTCGAATAAATAACATAATAATTTTATTTTTTTTTTTAAAAAAAAAACTGCCGACCGGCCGGCTGAACCGGACGGAGCCGGTTCCGACCGGCCGTCGTTTCCGGCCGGCTTTCTTGCCGTCCGGCCGGCCGGTTCGGACACGGCCGGTCCGACCGGCCATGCTTTCCGGACGGTCTTCAAGACGTCCGGCCGCCGGTTCCGGACGGTCTTTAAGCCGTCCGGACGCCGGTTCCGGACGGGCTATAAGCTGTCCGGAACCGGCGGCCGGACACGTATTTTTTCGTACCTCCGAATTTGACGACATTTCACCGTACACTTTCCTCTGAGATGTTTAGAAAAAATGAGAAGGGCAAAATTGTCCAAGGGGGGCGGTGACTAGTAATATGGGGGGCGGTGAATAGTAACACCCTTTTTTATTCCATATTTGTCTAACTACAGAATCTTTTAAAATTTAAAAAGAATCTTATATTATATGGATTCTTGATACCTATTTTTTTTACAAATTCATTTTTCATCTGACATCCAAATTACACATTTTAATACTAATCTTAAATATCTCATATTTATTAAATATATACAAAATCATCAATTAAGTTGAACAATTCGAAATATAAAAATTAATTCTGAAATTAACATACTTTATTAAATAAATACGAATTTTTAGTTGTGACTATAAAAGATGAGATTTGTAGATAGATAAAGATGGATAAAAAAATATTTAACAATTAAATTGACATTACTTTCCAAAAAAATACAAAAAATTTCAACCGTTTTTCGTTAAATGATTGATTAGATTGATCAAAGTTTTATAACTAAATTTACACGTTTGACCGAAAAAATTTAAGGAAATGATTGATCGAATTTTTTTAAAGCAAGATTTTTTCTTGTCATTAACCAGATTTACCCTTAGCATTTAAGAAAATCATTGCCCATATTTTTAAGAAATCAAGGCTTACACAATATCTTTCTCAAATACCAATCTTTCTTTTTAATATTTAAATTCAAATTTTCATTCAGCAGCATTTTTTTTAAAAAAAAAAGGAAAAAAAATTAAGAATAGTAACTTAAATAATTTTATGTAAGAATTTTAGTACTCTTTCAAGTAAATCTCTCTCTATTGTATATAGTAATAGATGGGCAATTAAGAGCAATCATGCAGCTAACACTAGGGCCTCGTTTACTAGGGTGGATAGGATGGGATAAGGTTGGTTAACCAACTTTATCATATGTTTACCAGGTTGTATAGGGATTAAATTTGTCTGATGTGTGAGTTGTGTGGCAGGTGGGTCCCACATCTTTAAAATGAGTTGGCAGGTTTATTTTGTCCGCCCAATAAGGCCGGATTCTTTATCCCACCATCTGAATTCCAATTTTGTCCAAAAAGGTGGTTGTGAAATGATATTTATACCCCTGTATGTCAAGAAAATTACATGTATAGTCGTATATAATAAATTTTTGCTGTCTGAATTCTCATCTTCTACTCGCCTCTTCTGTAAAAAGCCCTAGCTATCTCCTCCCGTATTCACGCCCATCATCATCTTCTTCATTTTTTTTTTATTTTATTGGAGTGGACTGTAACATTGTTAACCTCACAGGTGTCAATTGGTTCGTCTCCGGCTGGCCGATATCTGCCTATCTCCGCCCGTAATTGACGGCCACCATTTTCTTCATCCTTGTTTTTTCAATTTTTTTTTTCAAGCAGTGTTCTAACATAGGTCAGGTATCAATTGCTTCTTGCTCGACAATTTTTGCCCAAGCTATATCCGCCACTATTTCACGTGAATATTAAATCTATTCTGTGCTCCTCCATTTTATTTTTATTTTTTTTGTATTTTTTTTTTCTTTGTGCGATTGTTATATATCTGATGTGATGATTTACAAAGTTTTGGAATTGTATCAAATCTGTTCTGCGCTCGACGAATTTAGGGCAAAGAAAGGGGGAAAACTGCTCATTGAAGACATCTTACAATTTTTAGTGGAAAGATAAAGAGGGTAAAATTGACATTCCATGATTTATCACATCATGCAAAATAGGTTAGTAAACATAGGATGTGATTCAAAAAATTAAGGACTAAAAATGACAAATGCTGACTCAATGGACAAATAGTCTTATCCCACCATATCCCTATCAGCCTAGTAAACGAGCCCTTACTTATCTTGATGGATAAGACACTTTTATCCCAACGATATATTTTATCTTGAATTAATCAAGCATTTACTAATANAGAGAGAGAGAGAGAGAGAGAGAGAGAGAGAGAGAGAGAGAGAGAATATGATAAACTTAGGTAACACCTCTGATTCAGGTGATTTCAAGGGAGTGATATACCCCGAAATTTGACAATAATGTCCATCAATATTATCAGTTTCTTGTCAGCATGAAACATTTCAAGCTTGATGTCACTTTATACTTGTTTACTCTTGATTGGTTGATGCGAATTCCACTGCAACAGCATCCATACAATGGATGTGCCTGGAAATATAAGAGAATTCAGCTAAAATGTAAACGTCTACAGACTGACTATATAATAATTCAGAAGCTAATGGTGTATCTAAAATGCAATTAACTATAGCTTTGTGGGAGGGAAAGAAACTGAGCCTAGCATGATGATCGTGAATTCTTAATGATAATTTAAGCCTCAAGAACTGAAGTCTTCTTATCAGCAGAGAAGGATAATTGTGATGAAAGTTTGAGCCTCAAGAACTAAGTATTAAAATTCGGGCAATAAGACATTGCAGTCGACCACCCAACTAAGTTATAATTAAAACAAAAAACAGAAAAGAAGGAGAAAAGAAAAGAAAGATAACTACTTTCAAACCATGCAAGAAACTCGAAGGTCGATAGGAGAATAACTTACATGAGATTTATTGAACTGAGAAATAGAGAATTTTTTTGTCAAAGAAACTTAGGTTACAATCCATGCATGAAAGAATCTTAATAGTAATAATTGTGATAGTGTTAAAAATAATAGTATCAGTAGTAGTTAGCTTAATATCCAAATACAAACTCGATTAGACAACATTTTTGTGGATACCAGTCCATTATTTAAGCTGCAATACCTGCAAAAATGCTGACAGTTGTCAGATTTCCAATGGCCATGGTGTGGTAAATCAGATACTCCGTCAAAAAATGGCCCAAAGCATAGACGAATGATAGGAAAGTGGCTAGATATATAGGCTTGTTCCCGAGGTTGAACGCACAAAGAACACAAAGGGTGCAAGTCAAAAGAGTCCAAACTCCAAATGTACGTCCATGAACTTCAGTCACTACAGAGTAATATAATAAAGAACTGAAATCCAAATTATAATACTCAATTCGAATATTGAATTCTAGCAATCAATAATACGACATGCAATAAAGCAAATGAGTAATAGCTGGAGCCTGGATGTCTTACAGATGCTCATATGAAAACCCTCTTCAAAAAAATATGATCATTTTATTTCTATGGTTTAGGCCGAATATATCAAAGAGAAGCAATTAAAGCCCTCCATTAACAATGACAAAAACTATATCCATTATGTAATGAAATTACTTAAGACAACATCTCAATAACCAGTTTTACTCACATGGAAAATATTAAATGGTAAAAACAAGTTGCAATCATGGTTTGTGATTCAGGTACATGAACCTGTCTCCCCTGCATCCACTCTGTAACAAATATTTCTATAAAGTTTCATATGCCATTCTCTTTTAATTTAGATTCCAGATCTAACTACTGAATATTCATATCCTAAATGCCTTCAGAGTATAGTCTTCATTTGGATACTATTATAACTACCTACAGGCTACATTATGCAAAATAAGCCTGAGAAAGTTTTTTCAGCAGAGTTCGTTAAGAAAATAACCGAGTAGGAAATACCCACGTCCATTTGGGTGTAAAAGAAGGCAAATCGTGTTTTATGAAGCAGCTTGTAGATCAACCCAAGTTGGTAAAAAGCACTTAGGCAAGCCTTATGACTCAGGTTTAACTGACTGTGCAGAGATCAAAATTCAAATTTAAAGTTTCAGTAGTAGCAAACTGAAAATTCTTAAACTTATAAATTCATAATTAAGCTCAATGTAATCATTTCAGCTACACTTCATGAAATAATGCCAACATCAAAGAGTAACAGCCTCAAACTTGAGATAAATTGAAGGGGCAAAATGAAACACCAGAAAACTCCATGTTGGAAATCCATATATGACATACTATTTCAGTATTTATTGAGAGTAAATCCATTACTCAATTTGATGAAAGGGTCAGAAAAAATCCCAACTCTATGCGTATCAGAATAAAAAAATTAAGAATCATATTATCTAAAACTCACGTGATGTAAACACCATCTCCACAGCGGCATTAAGCGCATTTAACTTGTGAAAGTGCGAAAATAGGCGAATCATATATTGATTTGGATTTAAACAAACTATAAATCACAAAATCATGTGCAAACGCGTAATGAGTTTTGGAAAGAAACATAAAAATCATCGACCTCTGTATACAAGATTTGACTACTTACTGGGCGTTTGGGAGAAAACAGCGAGACGGAGGGCCCAAATGTCGAAAAATCCGAACCAAACAGATGCCAATCGAAGCGTGCCCACAAGCATCAACCACCATCCTAGCAACTTCATCTTGGCTCCAGCTCCTACACTGCACTTCTTCTTTTCCACTGTGATTTCGTTGGCTTCGATTGGTTAACTAGTGGTGATGGTACACGGAGTTAGTAGACAGATCTTAGTTAATAAGTTTATAATTAAAAAATATTAAAATTTAAAAAATATGTAATGTGAGTTTGTATTTTAATTTTATTAATTTTAATTTTATAGATAGTTTATTAAAAAATATATTACTATTTTCTATTTAAAATAACACGTAATACTCGTTCAGAAAAATATCTTTATTTCTTTTGTAACATTATAGTATATGTTATGTCGATGTCACATTAATTAATTAAATATTGTCAAAAGATAATTTTATGTAAAAATTAAAAAGGAATTAAAAAAACTTTTAAGTTTTAGAATATTAAGTTATTAAGTGGTTGATCACTGATTTGATTAACTCCAAAGCACCAATTAAGTGATGGTAAAGAGATTATTAAGCAGTTTAAATTTGATATAATATGATGAATTTGTGTAAAATCAAGTAATAAAGAGGTCGGATAATTTCACAATTGAGGTCTGGTATTCGTCTTAAATGATATTAAATGAGAGAATTTATGACTTTTTTTATAGAGAATTTCCGAACCCTTTAACAATAATCTCTGATCTAAGATCTGTCCAACTCAGCTAGGATGTCAAAATACAGGCCCCCGAGCTCAGAAGTAGCATTGTCGATCGCTCTTTCTGAGGTCGTTGTTTCCAGTACTGAATTCGAGTTGACCGAGAAACTGCCTCGCCACTCAAGCGGATATCGAAAAGGTGCGTCTCCCTAGACATTGAATGATGACATGCGAACAGTCTTTCATTTAAGGGGTGTGTCTGTCCCTCAAAAGTCGTGTCGATTCACCTTTTTCGATGACATGGCAGCCATCCAACAGTTAATCATGCTTCTAGCGGGGCTCACCACTTTTCAAACGGTTACCTTCTGAACTATGGCGTCGATCCGATCGTACTGTCTCCTTCTATAAATAGGCGGGCTTCTTTTCTTTTCAAAATTTTCATTTTACGAATTTTGTGCTTTCTCTCCGAAACTTTCTTGCTCCCGCCATTGTTGTNCTTCTGCATTTTTTAGATCTTCCGGTAAGACCGTCCTTCTCTTCTTATTTCTCTAATTAAATTATCATGCCTTCTTCTCTGCATCGAGTCATCGATTTTGAACTCGTCGGGGATGAAGGAGCATTCTCACATATGAAGCCGACGAACATAGTGTTATCTCGCCACTCGGGCCGTCATGAACCAAGTGTTCGCAAAATATTTTCACTACCCGCAAGTGTACGGTGTAGCTATAGTAAGTGGCGAGCAAGGTCGTATTCCACAGAGATTGTTGTCAAAATAATTAAGTATCAAAATATAGACGATCAAATATTATTTAGACTAACTCAAATTTGAATGGTGTTTTAAGATGAACGGCGGATTTGCCGCAGAGTTTCTGAAGGAAAAGACCGCGCAGATTGTCTTCCGGCGGAAGAAAATCGTCGGGGGCTTTGGTACCCGATGGGGTGTTTGGAGGGTTAGGAGTGTGGATTGATATGGGGAGGAGATCGACGAGTTGGCTCAGTATACGGGACTCGTCATGATTCTTGTTTGGGGAATTTTGGGCGGTTGAGAAAAGGACTGCAAAGAAGAAGGAAGAGTGATGATGGTTTAGTATTGATTTGTGCTTCTTCAAGGTGTTTGATGACATTCCTCTGAGAAACATGTTCACTTCCATTGGCGACTATCGATTGCCATTGTCTAAAATAAGGGAGAAAAAATGATTTCGTGCGGATCGATCAGTTTTGTAAATCTCATCTTTTTGTATATCTAAACGTAATATATACAGTAAGTAAACACAATGATATTCCTATACAACAACAACAATATAGATATATTTATTTAGTAAATTTGAATATTTACTATAATCTTGAACAACAACAACAACAACACAATGATATTTCTATAGTCTTGAATATTTATTTAGTAAATTTGTTTATTTTACAGGAACATGACTGATATGAATGTGTTTATACATCACAATGGAGGGATATTGCTTACAACATGTTGCCAATTAGATATACTGTATATATACATTAGATATACATGATCTGATGTTTCTCTAATATTAACCGTACAGTTATACATAAGATAACCATATGTAAACAACACTAAAACGATATAAAAGCGTAATACACAATTCTGAATGATTGCAAAATTCAAACCGAATGTAGTTATACATTAATTAGATAAACAACATATGTCTATTTTACATGACACCGAATTGAACTTAGAACTTATCAATTCAAACATATTTCAACTGTGCATGACATTTACAATTTCAATCAACTTTGTACACTCTAAAAAACAACACAATATAGATTGTGTATATCTAACGTATAATTTGTGTATATGTTTCTACAATAAAAAAAACAACTTCTCCATTTCCAGGTATCTTGTTCTAACTTTTGGGATGGTCCAAGCAACAATTAAAAATTGTACAGATCAAAGTTTCCCAAAACAACCGCAACTCCCTTATTTAGTTATTTTAGACAATGGCAATCGATAGTCGCCAATAGAAGTGAACATGTTTCTCAGAGGAATTTCATCAAACACCTTGAAGAAGCACAAATCAATACTAAACCATCATCACTCTTCCTTCTTCTTCGCAGTCCCTTTCTCAACCGCCCAAAATTCCCCAAACAAGAATCACGACGAGTCCCGCATACTGAGTCAACTTGTCGATCTCCTCCCAATATCAATCAACACTCCCAACCCTCCAAACACCCAATCGGATACCAAAGCCGCCAACGATTTTCTTCCGCCAGAAGACAATCTGCGCGGCGTTTTTCTTCAGCAATTCTACAGAAAATCCATCGTTCATTGCGCGTTGGATGGCGCTGAGGTCGAATTAAACTGCCGTTCATCCCAAAAGTTCAATCAATTAATTTAACATCAATCCCTAAGATCTGAAAGAATCCTCTAAAGGAGGTTCAATCAATTAAGAGAACCTCCTAAAATGGAAAACAAATATAATGATATCGGATTAACGGTTAATCAAGGCAAAAAATAACAACCTGGCCTATTTAATTAAATTTAACACATAAAATTGATAAAAATTTGAGTAGTCGTAATTATGCTATTATGTTAGTAAGGAGTTGTACAGTAAGTAATTTTCTCAATTTTGAATATATAAGTCATACCTTAGTATCAAAGTGAAATTACCCTTGAAATTACTAGTAAACAATATAAAGTCGAAATAAATAATAAGTTGAAAATAAAACTCCCTTGAGCTGCATTGTGCGAATAATAAGTTGAAAATTACTAGTAAACAATCATATCGATTGAGACACAAGTTTGCAGCTCAACATGTTAATTGGTTTATTTTATGAACTTTAATAATATCGATTAAATTTATTATTTTATCATAATTTATATATAAAACCAACTTAATTTATAATAAAACTAACTAAAATCAAATAAGACCATTTGCTCTATATATTAATTTAGAACTTGTTGAACCTATATGACAACCAAGCATGCTTTGAAAGCTTATTTGACATAAATTTGTAATTCATGTTGATACATGTACTGACTTGGTTTTGACAACTGGACGTGAAAACTGTTATAAAACTAGAGAGAAAAGAGAGAATATAGAGAATGCTTTCTCTTGGTTGTATTTTCATTATAACTGAAGCTCCTATTTATAGGAAAACTTCTGATGGCACAATCGTAATAATACAATTACATTAGGGGCAAAATAGTCATTCACATATATTATTTTATTCTCCTCATGCTCCTCATGCACAATATTATAACACTCCCCCTTGAATGACTATTTTCTAAATATCGCTATTTGAACAAAACATAATCTGAACATCTTGAAGTTTATCTTGTGGCCATCAAGTATCGCTGCTTCATTATGTCAGGAAAAACCCGGTGGGACAAAACCTGATCATATTGGAATCACAACATTACTTCCTCAGGAAAACCCGGTGGGACAAAACCTGAGCATTGTGGAAGCATAACATTGCTCCCCCTCAAATATATCATCTTTAGTGGAGTATCCACGTGCTGCCTCATTAAAACCTTGTCAAGAAAACCCAATGGGAAAAAACTTAATCGAAGGAAAAAGAGTACAACTACTCCAATATCTTTTTATCATCATGAGGATTCATATCATTTATTCAGTAGTCCTCATCATACCATGAATATGCCTCATTAAAACCTTATTAGGAAAAACCCAGTGGAACAAAATCCTAATTAAGGAAAAAGAGTACACTATTCATGTGAATACGCCATCTATGTTGCCTCATTAAAAACCTTGCTGGGAAAACCCAATGGGACAAAACCTCAGTCAAGGGAAAAAGAGTACAACGCATATTCCATATATTTACCATAATATTTCCATGAGTATCATGGAAATTCATTCAGATTTTCAAATATTCATGGTTTCATACCATATCATTCTTTGTGCAACTTTCAGTCCTACCCTCGTTCATCACTTATTTTGGGTATGTCAATTTGCACAATATCAACGCTTCCAGCGTATTATCACAATATTTCACATATTTCACCTCCATCAGTATCATTCAGTTTATTTGCACACTTCCAGTGTGATACATATATCATTTAAAATTTCAATCATTGATTCTCCCCCTCGTCTTAACAAATTTCTGATCTGTATTTTCAATATTGGATTTCTTGAGAGAAGTTCATATAGTCTCTGTTTCGTTCTCGATTTCAATATATATAATAGTAGGACTTTGAAATCATATCACTTGCAATTTGCCCAATTTTCTTTCAAGAATTCATCATATTAATTGGGTATATTACTAGCTTTTACACTCATTTTCATAATCATCTCGTAACTTCAGGTTACATTTTATATATACATTCATTGCTCAAAACATCTTGTAACTTCAAGTTACGAGTCATATAATCATATGGATATCTAGTGGATCCATAATATTTAGTAGCACATATGGAGAGGTAGTAGGCCCCTATATCGTACCCCTTTTGATATTGATTCACAAATATTTAGCTAGTAATAATTTTCATCAATCGAGAACAAAACATCACATATCACAAATCATGCAAACCATTATCATTTATATCAATAAACATCACAATAATTCATATTTATCACAAACATATCACATCATCTTTCGGCGGCAATAAATGCACTTCTAGTGTACCCAATATTTAAATTCAGAAACGTATCACATGCGTATCATGCCTTCTGACATAAAGACTTTTAAGCTCTGTTTTTAGATTCGTATCGCATACACATCATTTCTATAAATTATCAGGTAAATCATTCAATCTTCCTTAACAAAGGTCCGAATTCACAAATGGATTTAGCACTCTCAAATATCCGTAAATATTATCCATTTCTCCCAATAAATATCATAAAAAGAATTTATCGATCTCGATTAGAAAGATTGAGAGTGCTAATGATTAATGATATTCCAAGTGATATTCGATGGTTGATTGAGGCAAAAGTTCGATTGTCTGGAGAGTTTCCAAATTCATACAAATATATGTCAGGTATGGGTAAAAGTACTTTTGCAAAGAAACGAAGAGCAAAAAGATTAGGTGGATGCTTCAAATGCGCTCGATGGACTTGTGACACACGATGTATATCTGTTGGGTTCGTGTCCAAAAATCGAGAAGATAAAATATCATTTATAAAGGATGGATTGAGTAAAGAATCTATATATCAAACGATTCAACAGATTCTTGAGATACATCCGAGTGGTTATGTGCATCGAGAGCTTATGTCTCTATGGATTCGTTTCAAAAATGAAGAAGAACGTTATAGTCTCGAAAATATTGTTTCAAAAGATCAAGTTTGTAAAAATTGTTCTTGCTAGTACGAAAAATACATTTCTGTATTTTGTACTGTAATTTTCAGAAAATCTTATAGCTGCCGACATATAAGATTCTTTGAAGACTTAACGCCTTATCTGTCAGTTATCGTTTTGTGAAACATCCTATTTAAATAGCGAGTCATCCATCATAATCATATATCTCACAAAATTTAGTTTATCAATAGATGGATGTTTCAGAGTCTTCTCATGGTAATAAATATCTTCATCCGATCAAAACCATGTGTGTTCTTGGTGGTTCTAAACTGGTAAGTTTTTCTCAAAATATTGATATTGGAAGTCAACTAGTAAGGGAGATGGGGAATCGAAAAATCAATTTACTGTATGGAGGGACTAGCATCACTTTCTTTGATAACCTTTTAATGGCTGGAAAATGTTTTGATATAGAAGTGAAAAGTATCATACTTTTTCATAGAGCTTCAACAAGGGTCATCAAAGATTCCACAAGTTTGATGCTAACTCATTCTATTTATGACTGTATGATGGATATGGTGAACAATAGCGATGCTTTTATCATTCTTCCAGACGGTTATGGAACTTTAATGACAATGTTTACCATTGCTTCTTGGGCAGAATTGAAACTTCATAATAAGCCCATTGGTCTATTGAATTTTAATAATTATTTTCATGGTTTGTTTGGATTTTTAGACGAAGGAGTATATCAAACCTTTATATCTCCTTTAACGCGAGAAGTATTCAAATCTGCAGACACGCCTTCTGAGCTTATCAAAAAGCTTCAAGAATGCATCACATTTCAAGATTCTGTGGAAACACAATGGGTCAAGTGAAAAAGAGCTTTTGATCCTTTAGATCTCTCATTATGAACCCATATAATAATCATGGGTGGCAGAGTTACGGAGTTTATACTCTCGAGACGCACCCTTCTTTAATGGGTTCTATTATGTAATATTTTTCGCATATTTATTGAGGATTCACAACCTCTTATCTGTATTTCCATCATATGATCCTTATGTACTTGTTCTTCAGTAATAATAATATTTTTAGTTTATTTGGATCTTTACAAATACTCCTTCTAGGAGATGCTCGATCTTCAAGTCGAGATTATACTCTTTGATATTTAACCAAGAGTTTTATTATAACTCCGTCTATAAGCATGAGCTAACTTATTTAATCTTTTACATAGTGTTCATAACATAATCTATTTAACCGTGATGATCATTTTGTATATTATACACAAGGTTCTACCTTGAATTTCGTACTTTACTTTTTCTTCAGGAATAATTTTGTTGGTTGTACCACATCTTACCAACAACTTTATATAATTAAATGATTTAATTATCTTTCATCTCAGGTATTCGAGTCCATCCAGAACTTTCACATATGACTCAATAGCCATGATAATTTTGCTGCCATATATATTAGCTTGCGGAATCATTGATAATGGGAGAAATTTTATAAAATTTTGGGTCTCTGCGTAAACCCATAATCTCGCTATATTTACATCACACCACCATATCACATATAAGTATTCATTCTTCTGGGATATACTATCCTTCTGGGATATATCGTCTAGCGAGTGAATATTATGCCTTTATTTTTCTTTCTATCTCAATCAATCTAAGCGCTTCTAGCACTTTCATTATTTTGATCCGGATCATTATTTGAGATAGTAAAGAAATCACATAGGCAATTATGTTGTCGACAACTATGATATTCAATTTATATTCTCTCCACCATATGCGCAACTTCATATTTAGTAGCCATATTTATAATCATTTTCCGTAACATTTAATTTTGGCTATTCCGCATTTCCAGTACTATAATGTTTTTATGCACGTGCAAGATGTACTGGATCAATTCTCCAGGAGTTTCTTTATAAATGAGTGTTAAATATTGAATATATATTTTCCGCTGACTTTCATATATTTTATAACCTTATGCTTCTAGCATTAAGGAGTTAATCATTCCCTAGGAATTTTGCTTACTTTGTGGTACATTTATACAAATTTCTCACTCCATTATTACTATAAATTTCGTTTGGCAGAAATATAATATGAACTTCAAGTTCAATTGCGTAAGTTTCAGATAATGAAAACATTAATATTTCAAATATTTTACGGCATTAATAAATTTATGCTCATATCTCCCCCTAATGCCGTTAAATATTGTCGCACAATACGTACCAAATAATAAATCGACCTCCTATAATGGCCTCTAGGTATTAAAAATCTGACGGAGTATCATAGCATACCTAGTTTATAATATTGGCCCATAAAGGTACGAATTGGTGGTGATATAAGATTGTGCATAATAATAAATCGCAGATGGGAAATGTTCAATTTTCCACGCATCATTTTGGGGAAAATTTATGATAAATAATTATCCAACTGCTCATGCTAATTATCCAATATATAAGTTGAGCATCAAAATATAATAAATCAATTTTATGTGAACACTATATACTTTAGGCACTACATATGTTATAACTCTTCAGGAGTATAACAATTGAATTATGAGATATTTCATACATTTCATAATACCAATATATATAATTTAATAAACTATATCAATATTGGTCTTAAAATGAAGCCCTTATTACCCCAAGTATTATGATATTATCAAAAATTAATTTCACCAATGCTTGCTTTAAATATGTAACAAACAATGATTCTAGTATAGAATAGATCATGTATAAAATAATATTGTCTTTATTGAAGAATCATTAGCATGCATTTGGGGGTGTTAGTTTCGTGGGCTTGCAACTTGCTAGAAATTGACAAATAGTATTTGAATGCCCAAATGATAATTTAATATTATTAGATATTAATGCAATGACCACTCTGTCAACTTGCCGACACCAAAACCATTTATTTTAGTTGTATCCTTTCTTTGACTTATTATTTTTATTTATCTGTCACAACACATATGTTATTTGTGACTCACCACACAGACAAAGCAACTTCAGCGTCCTTCCAATGCCCAACGAAGAATACCATAATGACAAAATCATAAAATAACATACCTCCAACCACATCATGACAGCGGGTGCTAGAGAGTGTCTAACAAAATTTCACAAGTTATGATATGCCGTGAGCATGAACCCAGGCCACTCCTTGCTATGCCACCACTATGAACCCCCAAGAGGGGTCCAACACTTCTACTCGGCCATAAGCAAAAGATTTCAATTGCTCGGGCTATTCTTATGCCTATTTTGTTGTTGGATGAAGCTAGCTCGTCGATGGAGTCCGACTCGAGTCAAATACATGAAGCTCTAGATACTCTGTTTATGTGAAATAAGATCACCATTCTTATTTCACACAGAACAGCTATGAGGAGCTCTTTTTATTTTCTACCTTCTCACTTTTCATTTTTCATTTTGGGAAACAAAAGATTACTTTTGTTTCAATGGTTCTTGAATATTGTGTGTATCAATTGAAGCATATTATGGGCTGAAAAGAAAATAATTGAAATGGCTAAAGGTAGAACATGAAGTTCATAAGCTCCCCATGAGTGATAAAAAAAATTGTTTGGAGAAAATAACGATTTGTAATATTCTAATTTCTGATACAGAAGATCGTCTATAAGACGCAACTGTAGAGCATACTCTCGTTATATTACAAATCGAGCTCTAAAGGGTAGAGACTCATGCTGATAACGTGTTATGAAACTAGAGAGAAAAGAGAGAATATAGAGAATGTTTTCTCTTGGTTGTATTTTCATTATAACTGAAGCTCCTATTTATAGGAAAACTTCTGATGGCACAATCGTAATAATACAATTACATCAGGGGTAAAATAGTCATTCACATATATTATTTTATTCTCCTCATGCTCCTCATGCACAATATTATGACAAAAACTACAATTAACTTGTTTTACCTTTCATTTTCTTCAAATTGTCATATACTTTTTTTTTTTAATGTTAGTTCATATATTAATTATTATAAATATTCATTCCTATTACTTTAAAAATTTTGTAACTTTTTTCTATGCATTCAATTTTTCATATATGACAAGTCAAACTAAATTAAAATATAATTAAAATATTCGTTACGAATATTTTTGTTAGACTATAATTTATTTAATTGATTATTATAAGTCTTATTAGCTTATAATTTTAGTGTTATATAATTGGTCGTTGGAATAAATATTCACCTATTTTTTTAATATGAACTTTTTAATATATATTGAACGAATATACAGAAAAAAAATATTTTGATACTAAACGTTTCATCGAAAAAGAAAAAAATAAAAAATTCCAGTTTTAGTAAAAATTGATACTCCCTCATATTTTTAATAAATGTCGATTTGAGAAGTTGCACAATAATTAAGAATCTTTTTTTTGTTGTCAATAATAACCCTCATTAATGAGGATAGAGATGTATGTTAAAGATGAAGAGTGAATATGAAAGGCGTAGTTATTTATTAGCTAGATGAGGGTAATAATGGAAATATATGTACAAAAGATTCAAAACGATATTTATTTGGTTGATTGTTGATAAAGTCAAAATGACATTTAAAAAAAAAGAGGTAGTAGTTGTTTTCAGAACTTGTAATCTGTTTATAATAATATGATTTTTTCTTTACTGATTTTGATTATTATTTGCTTAGAATATAATATTTTAATTATTATAAATATATTTGTTTTTATTGATGATATTTTTTCGAATTTTGGGTACAAAAACTAACAATGATGAAAAAGTGGGGTACTGAACCTAAAACTAAAGCTTAGTTGAGTACCAAAACTAAAACTGAATTGCTATTCATCATCCCCCTATTATTACTCACCGTCCCCTCAGTTACGTTTTTTCCCTTACTACCTCTCTCTACTCTTTTCCTCTCGACTTTATACGGCTCTTTTGACCGTAAAAAAAATTTCGAAAAAATATCAAAAAAATATCATGACATCGACAAGTCATTGAAGATTGACCATGTATTTTTTTCTTACTTTGTAAATAATTTTTCATTTTTTTTTTTTTTGTNGGCCTCGCCGGTAGGACGCCACCGTGTGCATCCGGCCTCGCCAAGTAGGACGCGCCAAAAAAATAAAAAAAACTAAAAAAATATTTACAAAGTAAAAAAAAATACATGGTTAATCTTTAATGTCTTGTCGATGTCATGATATTTTTTGTCATTTTTTCGATTTTTTGCCGGTCAAAATAGTCGTAGAAAATCGAGAGGAAAAAAGTAGTGAGAGATAGTAGTGAAGGGCAAAACCGTCCAAAAAAGGCGGTGACCAGTAATCACGGAGCGGTAAATGATAATGTCCAACTAAAATTTGCTCTATATTTTAATCAGCAGTTCAATAAGATGGTAAATCGGCATTTCAATAAAGTTTCAAGGTTTATTCACCACATAAATTTAAAGTAGAAATGGCACATTGGCCACCATAAAAACGGTGCCCTTATCAACACTCTTATCCTCAAATCAAAACCCAAAAACCCAAAAAAATGTCAGTGTCAGCCCTATTCGGTTCGAGACTGGTGCTTCCACCCCCCTCCGCCGCCGTAACCAGGGCCGCACCACAGCCGCGAAGACTGGCGGTGGACGGCGGCGGTTTTGGGCTGGCGATAGAGTGCTCGTCCAGGCCACAGAAGAAGTCCACGGCGCATCACATGAAGACACGCCCGCGCAAGACCCGGCCCTCCGACATAAAGCGTCGACCCACCGTTTACCCTCCGCTGCCGCCTCTCCCCCCGGAGTGGAGTTTTGCCTCCGACGACTCCACCGCCGCCCCTGTCGCCGGAGCTATGCCGGCCCCTGAAAATTCCGAGTAATTTATGTTATTTGTGCATCATTTTCGTTATGAATATGAAGTATTTGATGAAATGCCCCAGTGAATGTCAGTTATTATTTTCTTCAGTTTAGGGATTGTCAAAGTGTGTGTGCTTATTGTATCTGTATCTGCTGCTGTTTGATTCACTGAGAATGCTGCTACATTTTGGTTGAATGCAATCCTCATTTTCAGTATGTTCCTTTTATTTATTTTATCATACTTTCCTCCACAGAAATTTAGTGTATTTCTTTGCCGAATCAAATTATACATGTGAATAATTGTAGTTATACTGTGTACAAATTTAGGAGTATGGTTTAAAAGAATTATGGTGTCAAAATATTCAGACTTAGTAGCAGATAACACAGTTTGATTAAACCGCCCATGTCTAGAGGTGTAAACAAGCTAGTTGAGTGTGATATACTCAAGCTTGTGTATTTATCAAGTCGACAAACAAGCTCAAGCTTGTCTCGTTATCAATATTAATAACAAGTTGAATTCGATCCTTAGTGAGATGATATAGACAAATCACATTTAAAATTTTTATTTTCGAGCCTTGAAAAGCCGAACTGAATTTACAAATAACTCGTTTTGTTTTATACCTTCCGTTGGAAAACTCAAGTATAAGGTGGAATTTCATTTAGTGTAAAATCTATATATATCTAAAAAGGTTGATGTAAAAATCCTTTTTTAGAAACCTAAAAATAATTGAGTTGACTTTTGACTTTCTATTTATGTATTCTACTTTAAAATCGGAAGAAAAATCGTGAAAAGCTAGTGAATATTTCGTTAATTTAGCATGAAATTTGCGTTAATTAAGCAAATGGATATTCTCCTTAATAATAGTGATATTTCCGTCAATTAAGCATGTGAAATTGATTGTCCGTTGCAAAAATCATGGGACTTACTATCTATCCAAATACAATCCATAACTATCTTATCACTTTTAGTTAATAAAAAATATGTGAAATTGATTGTCCGTTGCAAAAATCATGGGACTTACTATCTATCCAAATACAATCCATAATTATCTTATCACTTTTGGTTAATAAAAAATTGTATAAAAGGATATTCATTACCACCATTACAACTCATCATTCACGAGTTCAGAGAAAAAAAAAATACACAGAATAATTTTTCATCGCATATACAATATAATGCTTCCAGACTGGGGTACACTTCATTCCGTTAACAAAAGAAACAAACTTTTTTTTGCGTCTGAGAGAGCACCCCGCATTATTGAAATCCATCACGAACGGGAGAACTGTAACGCATTCCATATACTGTTTCATGATGAACAGGTAATATTTACCTTTGTTATTTTAATTTTATATAATTTAGAAAATTATTTTAATTAATATTTACAAATTTGTATCGTAGGGTGCTTTCATTAAATGCATAATACGTTATCCGAATAAAAGAGTAACAAATTTTATATAAACTGAGAGCAGTCTAATTTTTGTAAAACATGTAAACTTTAAACGTGTTTTTATATATAAAATTGTATATACTTTTAAATTAAGCAAATGGATATTCTCCTTAATAATAGTGATATTTCCGCTAATTAAGCATGTGAAATTGATTGTCCGTTGCAAAAATTATGGGACTTGCTATCTATCCAAATACAATCCATAACTATCTTATCACTTTTGGTTAATAAAAAATATGTGAAATTAATTGTCCGTTGCAAAAATCATGGGACTTACTATCTATCCAAATACAATCCATAATTATCTTATCACTGTTAATAAAAAATTGTATAAAAAGATATTCACTACCACCATTACAACTCATCATTCACGAGTTCAGAGAAAAAAAAAATACAGAGAATAATTTTTCATCGCATATACAATATAATGGTTCCAGGCTGGGGTACACTTGATTCCGTTAACAAAAGAAACAAACTTTTTTTGCGTCCCAGAGCACCCCGCATTATTGAAACCCATCACGAACGGGAGAGCTGTAACGCATTCCATATACTGTTTCATGATGAACATGTAATATTTACCTTTGTTATTTCAATTTTATATAATTTAGAAAATTATTTTAATTAATATTTATAAATTTGTATCGTAGGGTGCTTTCATTAAATGCATAATACGTTATCCGAATATGAGAGCAACAAACTTTATATAAACTGAGAGCAGTCTAATTTTTGTAAAATATGTAAACTTTAAACGTGTTTTTATATATAAAATTGTATATACTTTTAAACATGTTAGTTGGACAAACTTTAAGGATATATATATGTGTGTGTATGCTAACTTTAAGTATATATATTTTTCTTATAAAATAGTCTAGACAAAATTGAGGTAATTTCACATTTTTCGATAATAATATAAAATATTTTAATACTTTCACATATGTTATATAATAGTCTACGTATTCTTAATGTCTTTTGGTTGTAACATTGTTAACACATATAATATTAGATACTTTTAAACATATTTAGATAATTTTTTTACTCATTCTTTAATATCTATGTGCATAAAAAGAGAATAAGATTTATAAAAGATTTTCCGGCAATATACTAAATGTTAGATAAAAAATCTCATTTTATTTGTTATATAATATTTCGAGTTGCATTAATTTTGATTTGTATGTGTAAACTTGATAAATTAAGCGTATGAAAAGGAGCGTACTAATTACTGTAAGGATTTAAAAAATAAAAAATAAATCTAATTTTTTAATATTTTCGACTAACTTCTAAACGAATTTATGTCATAATTCGTCATAATTTTCCCACATCATGTCAATATTAATTTTATATATATATATATACTAGGTAAAAGGTAAATCATTATCTCAATATTTATTCTTTATATTCTAAGTAAATCTTCTCATCTATCTCAACGGTCCGCATGTAGTATTTCATACTTTTCTATTCATAATCAAATATATCAAAGCTTCACAAATTTTACTTCACAATTTTACTTCACAAAGAAAGCGTTCAATAATTTATATTTTTTTCCCTTCTTTGCAATCCATTTATTTTTGTTACATATATATAAATTATATTATTTTTAATATTTCACACGTTAAACATTTCAAGAAAATATACCATCCCGTGCATCGCACGGGCTACGCGCTAGTTTTATAATTCTACATTTCACTGAATTTTAGGGTGTGATTGGATATGAGTTTTGATTAGCTTTTTCTGTTAATTATCGTTAATTTTTTAAAAAAATGGTATGGTTATTTGTTATTGAGAACTTAAGTTTAAATTAAAATAATATTTAAAATAAAATAATTAAAGTTAATTTGATGTAAAAGTAAGAGGAAAATGATTGGAAGAGATGATTAGTTAAAATTATGTGACTGGATGAATATTGAATTAAAGTTGACATGATGTGTAAAAATGATTGGTTGATTTTAGTGGAGTTAGGTTAAATTTGAGTTAAATTTGAGTTTTGATTGATTTTTTATTAGTTAATTTTATATTAGTTAAATTTATATGCAATCACACCTCTAGATCGAAGGTTGCTTGGAGCACCACTTCAATCGTCTCCAACTGGTCATCCATTGGGCAACTATGACTCTTTCTTTGGTATCCTTATTTATCTTAGTAACATTAAATGTATTATATATTTTCCAACTTCTCTATTGCTAGTTTCCTTGGAATATAAATAATTATGGGTTGTTCTAAGAATTTTCGATTGGGTGTATAGCTTTTCACCCGACTCAGAGCCGAAATTGGTCCGTGTGTGTGATTTGAACCGGGTGATAATGGACTCGGTCAAGTCCAATTGTCACCGGTCAACTCGACATTGACCCAGTTGACTCGGACAACGACCTGACCGGTTCAAAACCCGATTTGACCTTGTCCTTCTAATTTTTATTTTTTTTAAAAAATACTTTTTTTTTTAATTTTAAAAAACTATATATATTTATATGGTAAATAATTATTATGAGATACTCCCTCCATTTTGAAATATAAGGCATTTAAGGTTATTGCACAAATATTAAGGAGGCATTAATTAATGAATAAATTGACTAAATTAACCTTATTTACTTTAATCACAACCACTCCACACTTCCTTAATTTCAACACAATGAGGGTATATTTGGAAAAAAATACAAAAATTTGTCTTGATTTTTGAGCGCGCCTTATATTTCAAAAAAAATGAGAAATCTTTATACGCCTTATATTTCAAAATGGAGGGAGTATATTACTAAGAGTTTGATGTACAAAATTTATATACGAAACATTTAATTTTGGTATTATGTATATTTATATGATAAAATATTATATATATAATTTTAAAAAAATTAAAACTAATTATTCGGTTCAACAATTGACCATGCGATTGAACCAAACCTGTGTGGTCGATTCCCATGCGAGTTTAAAAATTATGATTGGGTGTCATAATCCGAGTTTAAAAACTATGATTAGGTGTCACCATAAGTAATATGACCGGCGTGATCGCCTAAAGGGAAATTTAGCATGGACGGGATCTGTCGAAGCTGTGGGGAGGAAGAAGAGAGCATCGAGCATGTCCTATTTTATTGCAATAGAATTGGTAAGGTATGGAAGATATCTGCTTTGGACTGGGATTTCTGCCAGCTGCAAACATGGTCGTTTAAGGAGTGGTGGTGGCAAATTTCTGAGCTTGATAAATCGGAGACTTCGGAGGCCCGTATCCAACTTTCCACGTATATTCTTTGGTGGTTGTGGAAGGCGCGAAACTTATGGGCGTTTCAACGGGAGTGGCTGCCGGAGAGAGTAATGGTATGAAATGCTTGGAGGGAGTGGAATAAATTCTTATCATGCAGCGCCGAGTGAAGTTTTTAGCAAGGAAAATTAGCAAATTAGGTTCATGTGTTCAGTTTTCTTCTTTTTCTCCTTGTGTGTGTGTATTGTTTGTGGACTGTTCTGAGTTGAGTTAGAATATGGGTTTCGAGCCTCTGGCCTCGCCTATAGTTCTTATTAGTCTTATTGTTCGATTGATTCTAGGGCACCGATGCTGGTGTTCCTCCTTTGTTTGGTTGTGTATTTAGAGGCCTCGCCTATAGTTCTAATTAGTCTTATTGTTCGATTGATTCTAGAGCACCAATTCTGGTGTTCCTCCTTTGTTTGGTTGTGTATTCGGGCTCGTTAGCCCTTTGGATTGTAAAACTCTTATTTTTAATTATGAATAATTCTGCCNGCATGGACATAGCCAGCTTAAGTCCAAAGCTACAATTAACTTGAAACTATAATTCCTTTATTCACCCTAAATCAACTAGTACGGCACAACCGAAGAGGAGGTAGTGCTCACGAACATGAAATTGGCGATTACGAAAAACAGAATGTAAACATAAAGAAAGGAGCTTCCAAGGAATCATGATTTTGGCTTCTTTCAAGGCGATTGATCCCCTTTGAAAAATCATGGCCAGCATATGAAGTCGAATATTGTCACAATCTCGATAATCCTCCAATGCAAAAGCAATGCACGATATACATTGCAAGATTTCCCCTTCGAATATTCCTTTTTTTCTTAAACAAATGACGTCTTGTGAAGCACGCGACTGATTTAGAGAGGCCTTTATTAACCTCTTTCTATTTGCTGTTTGCCAGACTCAGAAGGAAATCAGTAAAAATGTGTTCATATTCTGGCATTTTTCCATATCCTGAAAATGGTAAACAAACTATATTTTGTCAGCAGTTTCCTCTTTTAGGGCGTCAGTTTAATTCTAGGGTAGATATATTCCGAAAATCGGCTGTATGGTTTACCTGGAAAATAATTTATATCAATCACATAATATTGGTCCCGTGTGCCATGCTCTCGAATTATATCCAGGTTGAACAACCGAAGACCCTACCAGAAAAAGCACCTAATCAATAAATGTTACAGAAACTCGACTAAAAAAAAAAAAAAAAAAAAAAATTATCATGGATGAACAGTGTACCAGTCGCCTCCTCAGTGCTTTAGCCAGTCTCTCGAGTAATGGCCGTGGAGGAAGTTCTGCAAGAAACGCATGATAAAGTCGGAAGATAGAAATAATTACAAATAATTACCCAAAGGTTCGGCTTAAAAATAAAAAATCTCTTAAATTACAAATAACCTCTTGAGATTAGTGGCTGTTCTACCACAACCCATCAGAAAAGAGAACTGACATTGTAAACACAACTCATTTGAGAAAATTAAAACTGGATAAATCTCAAACCTATCATCAAGTAGAAACTAACCACCAACACAAGGATCGAGATCTGCCTCGTCAGCAGATGCAGCAGAACAGGACACTCTCGGAAAACGATAAACACCGGCAGTCTTTGACAATTCACGCTTGCTGACATCAGGCAAAGAAAAACGGCGGACAACCTTTATTGCCTCCCCTACAATATAAACCTTGAACAGCACGCCTCCTACAATTAAAAGTTAATTTCAAGGCTAATTAAACTTATTTTGGTTCCTCGATGCAGAAGATTATAAATTTACTGAAGAAAACCGTGTAAACTACACACACACACACTCATTCTCACCGTGATTAATGAATTCTTGCAGAACTAGTGGGGGTTCGAGCTTCTGTAGAGAGAACTCGTCATAGGCAAGAGACAGCTCATGTGACTTCGCGACCAAAGGCTTTGCCACTAAATTTCAATACAATGATTTAAATTAAATTCTCAAACAAAAGAGAACATCCAAAAAAGAAATGAACGCTTCCAGAACAGCTTATTTCTTTACATATATAGCATACTAATTATACTGATAATTGCAAGTGTACATAAAAGATATACCAATCGGTAGTCTCAGCCCAGCCTTGTTAACTGCCCCAGGAATAGATGATGGATCTTTCTTGATGACCAATTGTTTAGGGACACTGACTTTTCCTGAAAATCAGATGCATTTGAAACCCTTATTTATGTTATAACTGTAGAATTGAAAATAAATGATGGGTTTGTATTGCTGGAAGAGAGCAGGGAAATATGTAATTGGACCTCAAAAGTAATAAACCTCATTCTTGTCTTACCCACATAAAACAAATAAACAATTGTGAACTCTTGTACTCAACTGTAAACAAAAGTTCCACAAAGGCCTAATACTCAAAGGTGTAAATCTATAAGAAAAGTACCATAGGTATCTGCCAAATTCAGGTCAGCAACATCTTGGAGCATGGATTGACGATTATGCACTTGCTGTATAGCATCAGGAGGATCAAGAACTGTTACTTCTGGATGTGCTTTCCGGTAATCCTATGAAAAAAGAGATAAAAAGTAAAAATCGTAAAATGACAACAAATTAAGCATGTTCAATCTTCAGCGCAGCATAGCTGAACAGATTCTACTTCCACAAGGAAAAAGCTGGAAATAAAAAAGAAAAATATCATGAAGTAAGATAGCAACTGATGAAATGTAAATGGTTTGCTCTCTATCTACATAGTACATTTATCACGTTTTTGGAAATTTGAACAGATTCGACCTTTGGTATGGGAACAACAGCAAGACTACAAATATAATACTGAGTTCTGAAGCATCACTCAAGAGAGAGAGGCAGTGTAGCTTCCATATCTCCTAAATTATGTGTTGTTTTTATCAAATGCATAGCATAATAGTCAAATCATGTTTTCTTCGTTACTAAAACAAGTGAGCATGGCCCAAGAATTAGCAATCAGGACATATTGCTCAAGACGTTTGCTTCATCCTAATTGATTAATTATTGGAACAGTTATATGCATCAAAACATTTGTTTCAGATAAAATGAGAATGAAAACATTTTCAGCAAGAACAAGTCCACAAGACCAAGTAATATGTTACTTTCACAGTACATCTATCTTTTCAATAACAGTGCTAGGATGGAATAATTTGTTGGAAGGGTACACAGTTTTTAGAGAAGATGGTCTTTTAGCATTGACTAAACTCAATGCATAAACTATAAACTGACTACATATGCCAATGGAAATAAAGAATACTGAAGCTAAAATTAACTAAACTACGGATCACAAAATAACAGCAAGTTCATAATTTTCCAATTTTTTTCTCAGACACAAGATGTTTAGCATTAAGGGTATCATCGCATCATGAAACTAAAGGAAGTCTTTGTTTCATGCATCAATTTCTTTAATGACCAATGAGTTGCATTCACAATCTCTTATTTTCCCTTCTTGTTGTCCCTGAACAGAAACCTTATACTGCACACATGCACATTGTACAATAATGCGGAAAAATTATAAACTCAGAGAAGGAATCAACCGGCTTCAAAAATAAAAAATTGAACTTTAATCTCTCCAAGCTATTGTGTAAATTCTAAATTATTCTTCTAGTGATGATTATAAGATGGATATCCATTCTGAAGTATCCAATAAATCTGATCTACAGAACTGGACAGCTTAAATATTAGCAAGCACAGAAAAGAAAACTACCAGGAAATAAAACACATAAGCCTAAAAAGAGAAAACATGGTAATCAGATTGGGTGGGAACTTAATGCTTAAAGATCAGTCATGAACATTTTAGAGCAAAGACTCTGCAAATAATGTTCTCCTATCCAACTATCCAAACCACTCTCCTAAATATCAATAAAATAAGGTCAGTGAAACTGTTTTGCCATAGTTATAAACATTAAAACAAACCTCAAGTACTCTCCGCCATTCCTTTCCAGATAACTGCGAGATACATAATTGAAAGAATATGTATCAATAAAGTTCATTTATTAATATGACGAAAAAAGGTCCAGAAAAGCAAATGTTCTGGATTAACAAATAGAGAAACGGTAAGAGAAAGCACAATCAACTCACTTTGTGGAGCAGAATGTCGAAAGGGCCTTGATCTGAAAGGGGTCTGTTTTGATCAATAGGTACAAAAAGAATTCCCTTATTCCTGCAGCACATTAAATACAGCAGTCACTATTTCATTTCTAAATGTAAAACATTCATAATGTTATCAAGAAATCTGCTACACAGGAAAATATAAGAAACCAGCAGTCATAATGTCTAGAAGCAAATATTTCACTATGCCATGAATAAAGCCTCTGCATCAGAAAAGAAAAGAAAAAGAAAAGAACAAAAAAAAAAAGAATAAGTATGTCCATGCATACACATTAAACTTCTCAAGTAGTGTAAAATAATCAAGAGTGTAAGCCCCCTTTAACGCTAAAGCATCTACAAGCTGTATTATAAAATGATATTAACACCAAAAGCAAGGTCATTTAGGCTATTGAAATCTTTTTGGAGCAACTGGAGGTAACAAATAATTATTTTTTTTTTTAAAAATAAAAGAGTCGAGACTATGACAGCTAACAACTCCAACGCAAATGATAAAATCTATTAAAAAAGGATCCACAAGTGATAAGCTGATAAGCTCAAACTGCCACCTCAAATAAAAAACGCAAACAGTACAGAACAACATACTAAATACCCAGACAAAAACAATGGAAAATGACAAGGAAATATAATAATTGCTGAAATTTCTTAGCTATTGGGACAAAATGTTTTAAACTACAAAAATCTTTCTGCAGTTTTTCCGTATCTGGGTGTGTTTCTATTCCATAAAACATATAAGATGGGATATTCAATTTAGAAATATTCTAAACAGGTATTGAGACTCCAAAACACTAGAAATTGCAATCCCAAACGGAAACTCTACTTCTAATCAGTTGCCTGAAAGAGAGAGTTAATTGATTTGCAATAATTACAAAAAACAACAAATAAATCGAAACTACAATCACACAAACACACA